GACATCAGCAGTACTGCCATCTTGTCCTGGGCTTTTCTTTGTTGAGAGACTGCTGATTACTACTTCAAACTTTTTGCTCATAATTCTCTGTTCAGGTTTCTATTTCTTCTTGGTTCAGTCTTGGTAGTTTGTATGTGCCCAGAAATTTATCCATTTCCTCCAGGTTTTCAAATTCATTGGAATACAGTTGTTTATAATACTCTCTCATGAGTCTTTGTATTTCTATGGTATCAGTTTTAATGTCTGCTTTTTCATTTCTGATTTTTGTAAATTGGGGTTCTGTCTTTTTCTGAGTTAGTCTAGCTAATTGTTTGTCAATTTTGTTTATCATCTCCATAAACCAACTTTTTCATTTCATTGATATTTTGTATTGTTTTTTGGGTCTCTCTTTCATTTAGTTCTGCTCTGATGTTAACTATTTCTTTCCATATACTAATGTTAGGATTGGATTTTTCTTGTTTTTCTACTTCATTAAGGTATAGCATTATGTTGTTTATTTAAAATCTTTCTATCCTTTTCATATAAGCATTTATTGCAATAACTTCCCTCTTAGTTCTGCTTTTGCAGTATCCCACAGATTTAGGTATGATGTATCTTTATTTTTGTTATATTCAAGAAATTTTTTGGTTTCCTTTTAAATTTCTCCTTGGACCCATAGGTCATTTGGGAGCATGTTGTTTAATTCCAGTGTATTTGTATAGTTTCCAGGATTTTGCTTGTTATTGGTTTGTAGTTTTAATCCATCTTTTGGATGAAATGTTCTGTAGATAGGTGCCAGTTCCAATTGGTCTAAAGTGTAAATTCTGTGTTTCTCTTTTGCTTTGTTTCCTAGATGATCTGTCCAATGATCCAAGAGTGGTGTTCAGGTCCCCAACTGTTAATGTCTTGGGGTCTATTTTTCTTTAGGCCTAATAGTGTTTGCTTTATATAACAGGGTATTCCAGTGTTGGGTGCATATATATTTATAATAGTTTTGTCTTCTCGCTAGATAGATCTTTTTTCACTATTTAATGGCTTTTTTGCCTCTTTTTATGGCTTTTGGTTTAAAGCCTATTTTATTCAATATAAGAATAGCTACTCCTGCTTATTTTTCTTTTCTGTTTGCACAGTATATCTTTTTCTGTCCCATCACGATTAGTCTGCTTGTCTTTACAGGTGATGTGAATTTCCTGAAGACAGCATATGGTTGGGTCTAGCTTTTTAATCCAGTCAGTCTGGGTCTTTTCAGTGAGGAATTTAATCCATTTACATTTAGGTTTGTCTCTGAAAGGTATTTTCTTACCCCTGGCATTTTATCTATTTTTATTTTGAATATTTTAAATATCTTTTGTTTCTTTCTTCTCCTTTTATTGTTTGTCTTTGGTGTTTGTTGGGTTTTGTAGGTTGTAAGATAAAGTTTTGTTCACTTTTTCATTTGCATTTTGTTCTACCAGTGGGTTTTGTTCTTTCTTGTGTATTCATGGCAGTGATTATCATTTTATCATTTTTTTGATTTTATATGCAGGACCCCCTTGAGGATTTCTTGTAGGGCTGGTTGTGTGGTGGTGAACTCCCACAGTTTTTTATTTCTTTTTCTGTTTTTCCTGGAAAATACACTATATCTCCCTCATTTCTGAAGGATAGCCTTTCTGGATCTAGAATTCATGGCTGGCAGTTTTTGTTTTGTTTTGTTTTTTCTTTTAGTATTTTAATTATATCATCCTGTTCTCTTCCAGTTTGTACTTTCTGTTGAGAAGATTGCTGTTAGTCTGATGGGGACTCACTTACAGGTGACTTGATGCTTTTCTCTTGCTTTTTTTTAGATTCCCTCTTTGTCTTTGAGTTTTGTTAGTTTAACTAAAATATGTCCCAGAGAGGACCTTTATGGATTAAATCTGTTTGGGGATCTGTGAGCCTCCTGGATCTGAAGGTTCATGTTTCTTCCTATACTTGGGAAGTTTTCTGCTACTATTTTATTGGCTATGTTTTAAATGACTTTTCCTTCCACTTCTTCTGAAACACTTATGATTAGTGTTGTTGTATGCTTACGGTTGTCTGCCAGTTCTCTTAGATTAGCTTCCTTTATTTTATTTTATTTTATTTTATTGGTCCACTTGGGTTATTTCACAAAGACCATCTTCAAATCAAAAATTCTTTCTTCTGCTTGCTCTAACCACTGCTTAACCTATCATTTGTGTTTTTAATTTCATTGAATGAATCATTCACTTCTAGGAGTTCTTCTATATTCTTTTTAAAGATATTAATCTCTATGTAAATTTCATCTTTTTCATATCCTGGATACCCTTTCTCATTTCATTGTGTGGTCTAACTGAATCTTCTGTTATCTCATTGAGTTACCTTAAGATTGTTACTCAGAATTTCTTTTCAGTCATTTCAAGTGTTTCTTGCTCTATGTGGTTTGGTATTTGAGAATTAATGTATTCCTTTGGTGGTGTCATATTTTCTCTCTCTCCCTCTTTTTCCCTCTCTCTCCCTCTTTTTTTATTTCTAGTTTGTCTGTGTCTGGTCATCTGGTAGATCAGTTGCTTCTTCTATTACTCTGGAGTGGGCTTTGTGGAGAGAGACTTTCTCCTGTAGACCTTATATTGATTTTGAGTAGGGTGTTTTAGTACTGGTTCGGGATCAATGCAGTAGTGTAGTCTCCATGTGGGTACTTTGGACATATTCAGTGTTGGATTGTGTGTGAGTGCCCTCATGGCCTAAGCACTTGTGCACTTAGTGATTCCTTGATCAGGTTAGTGACACTCTGCTGGTTCATCTGGGTGTGGGCAAGCTCTTGAGTTCTTGGGAAAATCGTCTGGGTGTCTGCAGGAGTCCTAGAATCTGTCTCAAACAGATACCAAGGGACAACAGTACATGTAAAGCACTTAGGACAGGCTTGGCACATAGTAGAACAGAGTAAATGTTGGGTATGAAGTATCATGGATACTTTGGCAGACTGTCTCGAGTTATCTCTTGACAACTTTTGCTTTGCAATTCTTCTGTAATTGTTCAACACTATGTGCTTTCTGGCTGTGATACAAAGTACCTACTGGCCATTTTGTGCATCTGGAACATTTTTAGGGTACCCATAGCAGTCTGCAAGTGTACTGTTGAATTGCCTCTCACCTGTAGCTGCCCCAGGGCATCCAGCAGTAAACCAGACACCACATGACTGTTGTTCTTCCTAATAAAATGATGAAGCTTTCAAAGGAAAAGAAGGATCCCACACTCTATTGTCCTTCCTCACTTAGCCCACTTACTCTTCTTGTTGCATTGCAGGGTGTTCTGGAAGCTTTCCCTGTTCTTATTCCTGGTGGCTGTGCTGGAGAAGGGGGAGGAAGCCCAGAAGAACTGGCCCATGGGCACCATCCCCTTGCCTATAAAGACAGTGGCAGCAACAACTCAGAGAGATGGCTGAACCAGAGCCAGGTGGTGCTGGCCTCCAGCCAGGAGGCCCTGGTGGTCACCGAGTGCAAGTACCTCAGGAGTGACTGGTGCAAGACATAGCCGAGGTGGCAGATGGAGAAAGAGGAGTACTGCCACAGCCACATGGTGCTCAATGCTTCTGCTATCTCCAGTGCAATTCCTTCTACATCCCATGGCCCATGCACAGTCAGGAGAACTCCGTCCAGTTCTGCACCTTATGCAAGTCCCAGTGCGTCACCTCCATCCTCGTGGAGCCCCAGTGCCTCAGGTGGACCTGCCCTTCTGCCTCATAAAGATCCAGAAGGAGTAGTACCATTGCATGCCCGTGAACCTGAGCGATGCTGACAAGCAGTGAGTGCCTAAGGGACGCAACTCAGCACCACCCACCTCCACGTCCCTGTCCTTCTAGTTCACAAGCATGCTGCCTGTGTCCCTGCAGCAGGAGCATGGCCCTTGGGACTGATGGTGTCCTTGGTCCCAAAGTGGACAACATGTAGAATTTGGCTGATGTGTTCCTGGCCGACTCTGGGCCCCGCCTGTACCCCCAAATCAGGTTGTGGATCAGGCCCAAAGGAAGATGCTGGAACACCACCACCTACCTCCCATCACACAGCAGTTGGAGAGGACCTTCCAGATGATGAGCTGTGAATCTGGTATTGATGTTTCCACCATGTGGAAAAGTGGGTATTTCCCTGGTCTCACCCTACACCCAGCTCCCCTTCCCAGTGAACTGAAGGATGCAGCACTCCTCTGTGCAGCCCTCAAACCTCTCTTGCTGGTTCCTGGACCTCTGGCAGGAGCATTATTTCCTGTGATTCAGGGCTACCCTTGCCCACTGCTGTGAGGCAGGTGTGGACAACATACATACAGATGGCCATGGATGGCAGCTCCTAACACACCTGAAACCAAGACAATGGAGCCACGTGGATCAGACAGTGGGCTTCCATGGGGACTGTGCTCATAGCAAGCCAACACCCTCCCCCAACCCCAGCCACCACCACCTCTTCTTCCTCACCCCCCACCTCCAGTTGTGGACTGCAAAAGAACTCTGGTGTGCATGCTATTATCACTGCAGTTAGAATATTATCACACACAAGGTCTCTGTATTAACACTGGTTTTATAATTGGCCTACATCATAAAGTGCAATTGAAAAGTGTTATTGACCTATGCATGTATTGTTTCATGAGTTTTGACTGGCTTTGCAGTACCAGTCTGAGTAAGGAAGAGACAGCATGGTGAAATTAATGGGAATATGACAGGGGCTACTACAATATTAAAGTCTTTGAGAGTTTCATTAATTTCCCTGTTCCTTCTGGGTTTTAGTATTATTTTTGATTTACTCCTTTTGTTGTGGTGGGAGCAGCTTTAGGGTCTTCTTCTTGCTGTCCCCACTATAGCTTTTACCTAAGAATTTCAAGAATCAATGTGAGGGTTCTTCAAACTACCAAGAGTGTCCCTGCAAATTGTGTATTAAGAAATAGGGAAAGGATCATCAGGTTGGCCCGTGGAGCAGTGGACCCAGAGAGAGCCATCCTTGGCTAGAACTCTAGTAGCCCCGCGATGTCCTCACTTTAGTAGAGCACCTCAGTGATTCATTTAGTTCTCCAGGTGTTACAGTCAATTCAGACCCAGTGTTCAGGAATTCTTAAAAGTGCTGAACATTTTTCTTTTCTCCAGAGCACATTTACCTGAATAAGTAGTCCTAAACTCCCTGGTGAAGGAGTAGAGGAATAACAAATGAATAGATTTGCCCTGGTATTGCAGGGTTCTCACTCAAAGGAATCAGCCAGTCTTCCTGCCAGTGGGTTCCAGGTCTGATCTGGAAACGGGGCAAGGGATTGTGATTTTTACTGAGATCCTGCCCTCTGCCTCTGTTCACCCATCATTGATTTCTTTTGACTGTGTAAACTAAGCAATGCCCTTGTCGGCAGCCCATATGTCTTTCCTCCAGGAACATAATGTTCTATTAACCGTCTCCAAGTTGGGATCCCCTGGATGTCTCTACAGTCCTACCTCTTTTTGCAACAGTTGTGCCCACGTTACTTCCAAAAACTGAGCATCACCACCTGGCTTATATTATTTTGAGATGTTGCTATTCTCGTGTCCATCAGGGAGTTCAGTTTGAAAACAGCATTTCTTGCTACGCTTAGCCCACGGGCACTGCTGACCTGCTTAGCAATGCTGCTGCCCCTCTCACAAGCATCATTGCTTTGGTAAACAGAGAACTTCCTGAAAATGCAGTTGGCTGGTGGTTTTGTTGTTGTTATTGTTGTTTGTTTGTTTTGTTAAACAGAGAACTTCCTGACAATGCAGTTGGCTGGTGGTTTTGTTGTTGTTATTGTTGTTTGTTTGTTTTGTTAAACAGAGAACTTCCTGACAATGCAGTTGGCTGGTGGTTTTGTTGTTGTTATTGTTGTTTGTTTGTTTTGTTAAACAGAGAACTTCCTGACAATGCAGTTGGCTGGTGGTTTTGTTGTTGTTATTGTTGTTTGTTTGTTTTGTTAAACAGAGAACTTCCTGACAATGCAGTTGGCTGGTGGTTTTGTTGTTGTTATTGTTGTTTGTTTGTTTTGTTAAGTTTCATGTAGCAAATCCACTTTAGCATGCCCACTTCTCTGAGCCTTTGGATCCTTTTACCCACCATGCGCCGTGCATGTTCTTGCATTTCTATTTCACTAACTGTGATCCTCCAAGAATTCCCCCTAGTGGCGTATTACCACCATCACAGGGGTATTTGCCACAGTAGTAAATCCTGAAGCAGGAGAGAGTGCTCACATATGGGGAAGTCCTGCAATATCCTCATTCAACTCGATGTTCTGCTCCCCCCAGATCCAGCAGCCTCAGACACATTCCCATGCTGCCTCTCCTGCTCTTGCACAGCTTCCCCATCTGCTCCCTCTTCTCCCTCAACCAACCCAGCACACTCCCAGTTGGGGCGGGGGCTAGCAACAGGCCTATTGGGGTCATGGGAATCTGAGGCATTGTGCTTCTGAACTGCATCTCCCCAGGTGTTCCCCTTCCAATTTTAAGGGTTGTGCTCCTTCCTTATTAGGGCTCCAGCCTTGGCCCAGGAGACTTGCTGGAGCTGAGAATCCAAACTTCTCTGAAACAGCACTCCTGTCACAGTTGAGTCCTCCTCTGACTGCAGGGGACCAGGGCTTAACTAAATGCTGCCAAAGAGACCCCACTTATGGCTTTCACATTCTCAGTGATCAACCACCCTGAGCCTTTTTAAAATTTTTTTTAAATTTTAACTTCTCAATATACATTGTAGTTGATTTTCCTAACCTTTTACCCATTCCTCTAACATTTCGCTCCATCTTATTTATTTATTTATTTATTTATTTATTTATTTATTTATTTATTTATTTATTTATTTGGTCACTGGCTAGTTCAGCGATCTGAACCTGTTATCTTGGTGTTACAAGGCTGTGCTCTAACCAACTGAACTAATTGGCCAGCCCTCTGAGCCTTTTATTATCTCTTCAACAAATAGACGCCACTTGGAAATGCATAGCCAATCCCACGTCCCTAGAGTCACTCTGTCCCCCATAACTCCTATGTTCCAGAAGGTATTGCACCAGCCAGTGAGCACCCCACCAGTGTCCCCTCCTAGTTTACCTGTGGGAAAAGTTTAAACATTGCACTGTTGCAGCATGCCAAGGGCTGTCTTTGGCAGCTGGCTGGAGAGTGACCCCCCTCTAAATCCAGTGTTAGAGTGTCCTTCCTTGGGCCACTCCAGGATCTGCCTGTCTTAGACCAGTCTCCCAAACTCAGAGACAAAGTGTGAGCAGAGGCTTAATGGGGAACGCTTGCAGGACTGTTAGGACGTGAGGAAAATAGAAAAAAACGTGTTAGGACATGAGGAAAATAGAATTGTGCTGCAGGAAAAGCAATCTGGTTGCAATCGCGGCCTCGTCTGATCCTATGGGGAGTTCTGGAGCTGGGATGGCATTTTAGAGTTGTCCCAAATTGAAGCAAGGGGGACAGTCTGTTGTAAGCCCATCTGCTAGCCACTGCCCACAGACCGTCCCCAGGAGTGGGCACTCATTTCCCTCCACTAAGGACAACGGCCAGTGAGGGACCCAGCTGTGAGCTGTCAGCAGCCGACATTTGCAGCGAGGGTTGGGGAGGGGTGAGATGGAGCAAGTGCACCAGCCCTGCAGAGCACATCTGGGCAGAGCACATAGTAGTCACCTTGGCGTGTGTTGGGAGTGGGGGTGGGAGAGGAGGGGGGACAGAGAGTCAGGAAAAGAGAGGCAGAGGAAGTTCCAAGTGATCTCTTCGGAAACAGAAAATCGCTGGCGGATTTGGTGAAGCATCACTCTCTTCACAACATGCAAGACGACGGGAAGGAACGAATCCGGATCCAGGCAGGCCAGCTCAGTGGCTCTTGCAAAACATAGACTAGAGATTAGGGACAGACCATTTCACAGAATTGGATCTGAAAGGTAGAGACAGATATGCAAACTATGTGCAGAGCGTAGTGAGTAAAGATGAACTGATCTGAACAATGCTGTTCCCTCATTTGAGGAAATGGAACTCGAATTTGGGCCTCTTCTCGCCTCCCCCTCCCGCTGTGCCAGGCGTCCCTGCCGCCCCCGGAATCCCCGCCCTGTCGCTGCCCAGCGCGGCCTCCCGCTCTGCTCCGCGCAGCCCACTCTCCCGTCCCCACGGCCACCTGCAGTTCCCCAACCACTGCCACTGCAGAATCGGGACAATTCTGCCACCAGGACACTGGTCACCCGACAAGATCACAGCTGTTTAAAAGGATGCAATTGCAGGCCGCCCCGTGGCTCACTTGGGAGAGTGCAGTGCTGGGAGCACCGAGGATGCGGGTTCGGATCCTATATAGGGATGGCCGGTGCGCTCACTGGCTGAGCTTGGTGCAGACCACACCGTGCCGAGGGTTGCGATCCCCTTACCAGTCAAAAAAAAAAAAAAAAAAAAAAAAGGAGGCAGCCACTTTTTTGGGGGAGGGGNTAAACAGAGAACTTCCTGAAAATGCAGTTGGCTGGTGGTTTTGTTGTTGTTATTGTTGTTTCATTGCTTTGGTAAACAGAGAACTTCCTGAAAATGCAGTTGGCTGGTGGTTTTGTTGTTGTTATTGTTGTTTGTTTGTTTTGTTAAACAGAGAACTTCCTGAAAATGCAGTTGGCTGGTGGTTTTGTTGTTGTTATTGTTGTTTGTTTGTTTTGTTAAGTTTCATGTAGCAAATCCACTTTAGCATGCCCACTTCTCTGAGCCTTTGGATCCTTTTACCCACCATGCGCCGTGCATGTTCTTGCATTTCTATTTCACTAACTGTGATCCTCCAAGAATTCCCCCTAGTGGCGTATTACCACCATCACAGG